GCAGGTTAGAGCCTATAGCTGAGATGCAATTGGAGGTTATTTTTTTAATGGAAGACCTACATACGTATCACTCAATTCACATGTATTTTACATATCTAACACCAATTTTTACTTGGATACCACCTTTCCTATGCTTGAAAAGGTGTATTTCACCTTTTCAAAGTTCATGGTGTTATTTTTTATGTGCTATGAAAGATTTGGGTGGTAGAAATGTAAATAGCTGTATTTCACCTTTTCAAAGTTCATGGTGTTATTTTTGATGTGTTATGAAAGATTTGGGTGGTAGAAATGTAAATAGCTAAGTTTAGGTGCTAGATATGTAAATACATAAGAATTGGGTGGTATGTATGTAAATGCCCCATTTTTATTTCATGATATCCCTGATAAGTACAGCTATTCTGATAGAATTGTAAACGTGCAATAACTACATTTCCCCTCCCTTGACGTGCACAATGTCTTTGTCTTCTATCAAAGATCAAAGAAGAGATGGTATTTCTATCTAAGATTAGATAATGAGGAAAAGATAAAAAAATAGTCCATGGACTATCTATGTGGGGTTTTGTAGTCCCAGACTATTTATTGCATCTAATTCAGTCCATTATTTTTTAAAAATATAATCCAAATTTATCCCTTGACTTATCAAATCTTGTCCAAAGTAAATTAACTGGGAGATTTTTTTTAGCATAATGGAAGAGCCAAGGGACTTCATTGATCATAACTATTTTCTGGGACTACGTAGTATCTAGTGGTACAACTTCGTAGATTATCTCATCAATGAAATCTCTGCCAAATGTAAACTTGAGAATACATTGCTTTTGGTACAACTTCGCAAACCTAAGAAATATAATTTTTCAAAATTAACTCGAACGAAAAAGATTTTAAATGCTCGACAGTTCCTGGCCTAAGTTTCTTGACTCGAGCTCTGAAGATGATGTTCTGTTTATTACCAAGATTCAAAATCACATTTACAAGGTTAGCTTTTTGATGTAGGATAAATATAAGTTACTGCGATCTGAATATAATTTCATCAATAGTTCTCAAGTTACTTAGAAGTGAATATTAATGAATTTATACTTTCTATTGAGCAGACACAATAAAAAAGCATGATGAAGGTAATGTGATTCAAGCTATTATTACATTAACCATTTTAAAGGTTTAGATTTTGTAGATGCAAAAAAAGAAATGAAAAGAAGAGTTATATGAACAAGTTTTCATTGCTAAGATCTCAATTCTTTTTGAGAAGTTCTTATCTAAAAATTATGAATTCACATACTTGATTAGTTTTTCACTTGGGAGTAGAATCACATCAAAATTTGGAAAAGAGGGAGATACTAAGTGCACCGCTAATTATTCAGCATAATAAGAGGCTCCTTATTTATAAGAATAGTGGGAGAAACCTATGCTGACCATCATTGCCATACCTGCAATCATACTTACCATTATCATATCTAGCACTAAACCTAATAAAATAAAACTCTTTCATGGGCCATGAAATAGGAAATGGTCTGATATTACCACTAATCCTAATAAAATGAAATTTCTTCAATAAAAGGAAAATGGAGGATATCATATTTGAAGAAAAAGGTCGGTACAGCCAGCATGATGAAGTCTGTAGGTGGTGCAGTTAGTGTTTCATTTTCCAAGTGGGAGAATTATTAAATATATGGAGCCTGTGACTTACCTACCTCACCTATCGCGTCTCACCTACCTCTCTCCCGTTTTCTTTAAATAGCCTCTTTTGGCATGTCATAAGTGTTAAGTCCTCTTGAGAGCTAAGAGAGAGAAAGGAAGAGAGAAAGAGAAAAGAAGTTTTTTTCTTGTTTGCAATTTTTTTATATTCTGATTCTACTGCACTAGTGCTTGAAGGACAACTTTGAATGAGCAAATACTAAATACAAATTGGAACCAATAGCTTTCATCGCTCCAGCGAAGTAGGATTATTCTAGGCTGCCAGCTTGAAGCGAAGGTATATCGGGGATTAGATCATGAAGGGGATGGTTAATTTGACCATCCATGTCAAAGAAGTTCATAAAATGAAGTTATTCTCGCAATGAATCATTGTTGTTATTAATCATTTTAAAAATTTCTTTTATTGTTGATGCAAAAAATGATGACTAAGGATTCATGATGATATAAATTTTTTTGTGGATATTTTAGGATGTTTCTCTTTGATGAGGTGATTTTTGTGTTTTAAGAGTTAATGAGGAGTGGTAGATGTTTACATACATGAGAATTGATGTGATTTATATAAAATGATTGATGCCGTGTGCTAAAAATTACAGTAGTAGAGTGGAGGTATGACATCCTAGTTTTGCATGAAGATTCGTCACACAAACATATAATTCAGATGAAATTGAGATGAACACAGGAAACCCCAAAATTTTGACATGAAAAACTCAGTAAGTGGGAAGCCCCTGATAAAACAATCCACTACGTTGGTTGAGTTTAGAAAGATATGAACTTCCATTTAATTAGAGAAGACGTGATTACGAAGATACAAAGATTTGCACTTTTATTTAATTTTGTTTCAGAACAAATCCAAGTGCATATTTAGCAAGTTTCAAGCTTAAACAAAATTCGCCCGTGCTTGTTGCATGCATGAGAATTTAGTAGTGTTAAATAAATTGTTACTATTGTAAATTTGTGTTTTAATTTGCCTCGCTTTACGGTTTCATTTCTACTCCCATCTTTTGAATGTGTTGTAAGGAACCAGCCCCAGACTGGACTTCCTTCAAAATTCATCTATTTTGAACTTGAAACTTTCTGCAACCTAAACTCTATCGTATTCAACTTAGAATCTTAACTTGGGTCGGCCTAACGTTGCTTTTATTGAATTAATACATGTTGAGAATGTTTTAAGCCAAATGTTCACAATTTGCTAAGATAAATCTTCAAATTTCTAGTGTGAGGAGAATTTCCCTGCACTAATCTTTTTTGGTTTCTCTCTCAATATTTTCTGTTTACAGGTGCCTGTTGATATTGCGCCCACTTTTGGTGTGATGGATCTATTATAATGGTGACATATTGAAGGCTCTTACTTGTGATTTCATCAATTTTTTTTCAATTATAGTCGGGGTTTTCAAATAATATAGTCTTCTCAGTAAGAAGGAAATAAATAATTGATGTCTCACGAATAAGCTTCACTGGTTCACATGATTGGAAATATGTTCTGATGGCTCTTTGAATTTGGTATCACACCATCTGTGTTCGCCAATCATATTAGTAAATGCAAACTATGTTATTGGACTTTTTTCTTCTGTTTTATTCATTTTATATGCTAGTAGGCAAGCAATATAGTTTCATCTAACATCATCATATAAATTATCATTATCTTAGTTTATTGGGATAGGAAAGAAGTTGAGGCTTGACTAAATTTCTTGTTAGATTAGGTTCAAAAGCAGATTTTTTTTGCAGATGATTGTAACACCAAATGAATGTTACTTGTGAAACAATTATCTTAACATATATCATACGTATATCACATAGTACATTTGTTGCTTTAGAAATTGAGATGAAAAAAATGAATCAAGATACATGACATTTTCTCTTGATGATTTTGCATATTCTCAATGAAAATGGTTTTTTTTTTTATTATTAATATACGATCAGTTTTCTTTTTATAATCAATATGCGAATATGCTTTTAATAAGATAAACAACAATATTCTTAGTCCTGCAAAATATTCTATGAACAGCTGGAGATGAGGGTCAAAACTAAAGCCATCTTCAGCTCAGGCTCAAGTGCTTAAACCTTTATCAATTACGTTCAAGCTCACATCAAGCCATATGTGCATGCAACTCTTTCTATGAAATCAAGAAGAAAATTCCAAATATGCATTTTGAAAATTGGTTTGAATGTTGAATTGGAAGAAGAAAAAGCTCAAGGTTGAATGGTTCAATTGGAAATTAACAAGATATGGAAGAGGATATCTGAATAAATATTTATATTATTTTAATATTATTTAAAAATAAGATAATGATATATCTTTTGATTGATTTAGTAAATAATATTTTAAAAAGATAATATTTTTGAATATTTTAAATGATATGCATTCTTTAATTTTAATATAATTATTTTATTTTTATCAACAAAACAAAATAAAGATTAAAATTTAATAATATCTGAACCGGTCTGATCTTTAGAAATCGGTTTGATTCATTACTTCGAAATTCCATGCACGATTGGTTACATTACAGTACGGTCCTATTTATAAAGTCATGCATAACGGTACATAAACTAATATACCGTCTATAATTATGTGTTCAAAAAAAATTAAATTTAAATATTCATAAATAAAACTTAATTATTGTCACAAATTCAATACCACAAAATCAAAATGATTATGAAAAAAAAAAACAACATAATAAAAATCACAACCGCCGATAACAGATCAAACGGCTGAAAGCTGGAACAATCCAAAATGAATTACAAACTCTAAAATCTTAATGTAAGATTCTTATAGAAACTTTGATATTATAATTAAGCTTGTAAAATCAGTTGTTATTGACAATGGCAGAAAAGAGCATCAGATTAATATCTTTGTCTAAATCCTTCTCATCACCTAAGAAGATCGATTAGCATCTTAGTGTTAATACTATGAATATATTTCTACAATCACAAAAAGAATATAGAGTCACTACCTGTCTTTGATTTTAATTGAAGCTTCCACTCATCAATTATCTGCGAGGATGCCAACAATAATAGAAATTTAGCCTATTAATCATATGAATAATAAATAAATCTACACTATATATGTATATTTGGAATGTCTTCAACTGTGTGTGTCTGTGTATTAGGCTAAGACTAGGACCTGATTTAGATTTGTATATGCAGCATCATCAGAATCAGTTTTATGTGGAAGGCCGGATGATGAGAGCAACCGGTTTAGAGAACTCCTCTGTGCTGATAGGGAGGCTCTTATTTGGTCCATTAGATCCTTGATATTTTAAAACAAATTTAGTTCCACAGTTGAAGAAAGTGTGGGTAAAGAGATTGAAAAAAGCACAGAACAGAAACAAGCATGGCAAAGCTAAAGAGGAATCATCCCGCTCGATAATTTTGGCTGACTTTCAGCTAGACGTGTCGAATTGGGTTTACGGGTCAGATTCGAGTTTGATTCAAAATTAACCTACTTGAAATAGCTTGACCAAAAACCAACATGTTTTTAACCCAACTGAATCAAACCTGATCCACATAACATGTTTAATGTAAACATGGTACTTATTTTGATCAAATTAAGGTTATTTTTAAGTCAAATGTGTGCTGATAGGGAGGCTCTTATTTGGTCCATTAGATCCTTGATATTTTAAAACAAATTTAGTTCCACAGTTGAAGAAAGTGTGGGTAAAGAGATTGAAAAAAGCACAGAACAGAAACAAGCATGGCAAAGCTAAAGAGGAATCATCCCGCTCGATAATTTTGGCTGACTTTCAGCTAGACGTGTCGAATTGGTTTTACGGGTCAGATTCGAGTTTGATTCAAAATTAACCTACTTGAAATAGCTTGACCAAAAATCAACATGTTTTTAACCCAAGTGACTCAAACCTGACCCACATAACATGTTTAATGTAAACATGGTACTTATATTGATCAAATTAAGGTTATTTTTAAGTCAAATGCTGGTTGGCATGTCATATTTGGGTCAATTTTAAGTTGACAGGTAATTGTCGAGTTAATTTCAGATTGGCAAGTCAACTCAAACCGACTAAAAAATTGTGTTAAGAATTTTTATCTGAACCCAACTCAAAAATTAATCAAGTCGGCCATATCCCAATTTTTTCTAGCCAAGTTAACGTGTTCATTAAATTTTTTGACACCCCTACTTTTAGCATATGTTAAAATTTACAAATAATATGAGTGAAATGGTATAGAACTAAATCGGAGGAATCAAGTAGCAATTGTGATGCAAAATTTATGGAAAAAATTTGACAAGTAAATATAGATTGAAGATAGCAGTCAAAGGAAAATGACAAGAAAACAATAAATATAATGGGCGTCAAGCGAAATGAATGTAATGGGCAACTTGATATGCTCCGACTAAACTTCCGATATTTTTCCCCACAAATTTAATTTTAAAATCTGAAGTCCTCACTTTGCTTCAAGTTTCACTCTTCTTACTGTTACCAAGAGAGAAATAGGGAAGATAATTATTCTGACATACACAACAAAGAGCATGGTGATTTAGGTTTTCTTATATAAAATCGTCACTAAGTAAGTTTGTTTTGCGAGAATAAGACTGGTCAAGTATAATGTCGATAAGAGATTGCTTTCTTGACATGATAAATTTAAACCTCAAAAAAGGATAATGATTTACTAGTAGGCAACTTATCCGTCGATTAGAAGATTTGGAGAGAGGAAATAATAGCCACAATAATACCCCAAAAGTTTTCCAAATATAGATCTCCTCATTTTCTACCATTTTCCTATTTCTTTGAAGTTTCAATTATAATGTGCAACAAATTTAGCATGATGGTTGGGAGTTTTACCTCAAACTATAATATCTTGAATTCAATGCGTTACACATAAGGTGTCTATGGGAGTTAAATAGAAAAACATTACAAGCCTAGGAAACCAATAGTTCTAAAAAACTAGGGTGAGGGAGTGTAGGGATAGCTTCTTGGACATTGGGAGTACTTTGCCTAAAATTTTAATGAGATGTTTATGATCTCCTAAATTTGAGTAATGGAAGTCACCATGATTTTAGGTTTTAATTAGAAAAGGTTACTAAGATTCCCCTCAGATTTAGCATGGAATTTAACTTGGAACACTTTTTACAAGTTGTTTATAACAATATTTGCCTCGGTCTTCTATCTTTCCTATACTTTTTCCACCAATTTTTACCTTCCATTTCTCGCTTTTTTAAGTTTTTAAATTAAGTGCACTGAGGGGTGGAAATTGAGTGAGGATTGGTTATGATGAGGAAGAGCATATGATACCATTTTATGATATCTATAGTGATGGAGGGGATAGAAGGGTGCAGAATCTCCTTCTTCCTTTGGCTTAAAGGGTCAAAGAAGGAAACCTAGGGTTAGAGCCTTTAGGGGCTGTCTGGTAATGGATTTAGAGTTGGATTTAGCCTATATGTAGGCTAAATCTTGCTAGACGGTCATTTTGAACAAAATAAAGCCACGGATTTGATAAATCTAGATTTCGCAGATTTCGACTGTAAATCCAAAATTTACTAAATCCTGTGGATCGGTGGATTTACAAGATTTATGGAATAGAGCTATTGGAACTTACCTAAATGTAGGCAAAATTTCCCAAAAAAATTTATTGGATTTACAGGATTTATGGAATTTCATGGCCAAATTGGTTACAGGATTTAACCTATTTAGGACTTAGTAAATCCGGATTTACTAAATCCTGATAACTTAAATCTCATCTTTTGCCAGACAACACATTATGTGGAGCTATGGAACTATGTCTTGCACTTGAGATCCCTTGAAGAAGATCAGATCAATCAATCTTAAGAAAATAAGTTTACAGAATTTTTTTAAAAATGACTATGTAAATTATCTATTTCATCTTTTACGTTGCTGGTTTGGCTATTTTTGATTGGCCGCCAGTGAGAAATTGAACCGGCTAAGTTGAGTTGATTAACGGAAAAGTTAGAAGATCTATCTTCCAAAAACATAAGCACAATTGAAAACTCATGCACAAATTATTCCGATAAACAAACTGGAAACTTATAATTCTTCATAATCACCGTAAACCTTAAGTCAGACTGCTTTTCTATCATCAAGAGAGAAATTTTAAAGAAGAAATAATCCAAACATCTTCTCCAAAACTAATTCCTTCTGCCCATAAAAAAGAGATCTACCTGCTTCTCCTTAAGCAACTCTTGACATAAATCTTTCAGCGAAACCAGATCTTCCTGAATCCTCTTCATCCGACAAATCAGCTTGCACGGATTTGCCTGGGAGGAGAACCATAGGGAGGTTAAAATAACCTAGGAGTTCAGAAACCCTAGATTTTATAGTTCAAATTCAAGCAATCAATCTAAAATCCAAGAAAAAAAAATATTAAAATTAAAGAACTCGAAGAATTTAAAGTGAGGCGTTAAAATAACCTAGGAGTTCAGAAACCCTAGATTTCAAATTCAAGCAATCAATCTAAAATCCAAAAAAAAAAAAGATTAAAATTAAAGTGAGGCAAAGCAGTGGGGGAAAGCGGGCGATACGTTGTCAGGGTAGGTAGACCTGAACTCGCCCTCGATGTGGAGTTGGACGAGTGACAGATCGCGATTTGCCTTGCTTAAAAGCTTCATCACCCCGTCGAGCGCCGGGTGGTAGCTCCGGCGATCCTCCGTCGACATGAAATCCGGCGATCGGTGGTGGCGCAGTTCGCCCTGCTTTCTCTCCTGCTCTTCACTCTTTCGAGATCTTTTCAACTTTCCCGCCCAATCACCTCCACATCATCGGGATTTTAGATATTTAAACAGCGTAAATATGCATTCTCAACCTTACAATTTGACGGAATTGAGATTCCGAAGTTAGTTCTCTTTATTTTTATTTTTCATTTCTAAAAATAATAAATAAATAATAAATTATAGTAAATTCCTTTCTCTTCTTTTTCATTTTTTTATTTATAAAAATAAATAAAAAAATAAAAAATAAAAAAATAAACATGCAAAAATATAATAAAAGAAATAAAAAATAAAATGATCCCAAATAATTCTCCACAATATATTTTATTTATAAACCATATTTATCACCATCTCTCAAGAAGCCAACAAAATCCCAAAAATTTATCATATAAAATAAGATACAATGCATTACAATATTTTGTTCAAATATTTACTCAAAATGCCACTCTCAGTTGGATCATAAGTCCAGCCCGCATTGAAAAACAGGAGGCTCGAAAGCGTTTAGTTCACCAAACAATGTGCCATCTCCCTCCACATTAAACCCTCCATTATCATGACAACCAAAGTATGTTTGTATGTCATCAGGAAAGCTGCACCTCGGCCACTGCTCCCCGACAAACTCATTCGGCACCGACGACGCATCGAACATCGCCGTCCTCTCCAACATCTGCTTAAACTTTGATGACTGAAGTATTAATCCGAGTGTTGATATATTCGTTGCAGCAGCATTAGTCATTGTATTCGTATTGATGAGCGCTCCTGGTTCTGTGTTATGAAAAGATTGAAAGATTTTTTGTTGTGGCGGCGGCGGCGGCGGCGGTGGTGGTGGTGATGATGGTGACGGGGATGGTTGATGATGAAGGGTTAGTGGGGCGTCGTGGCTCAATTTAATGGTGGATGATTGGTTGATGAGTTGTAGGGATATTGGGGTGGTGGTGTTAGTTTGTGGATTTGGATGGAGGTACTTACTGTAGTGGCTAAGATCAAAGTTGGTGACCGCGTTGAGCCCACGATATTCGATCGCTGCCATATCATAAGCCGTTGCTGCCTCTTCTTGTGTAGCTGAATTGATAATCAAAAAAAAAAAAAAAACTTAGATGATATTAAACTTTATTAATGAGAAAATTTTGAGAAAAAAAATATGTGTATGTGTCTGTGTCACGTATTCATATCAGTTGGTCGGGCATCTGTTTGTCAGTTGTAAGTCCTCTTTGATCTGAGATTCGATTCTCTTCAAGTGTAGGGTGTGTTACTCGAATTTTTAGGGGCATGAGGGATGATCAGAACTAGTAGAATGGCATCCAGACATTCCTTTTTAATATATATATAGTAACGCTTGAACATCAATTTTTATAATCATATCACCCTTACCTATTGAATTTAAACATTAAATTTAATAGATAAATTTAAAGATTTTTATTTTTGAATCATTAAATTTAAGAAAAGTGAAATAAACATAAAAAAGATATAATGTATAAGCTGCAAAGTTACCATAAGTTCCGAGATACAAATATTTGTTGCCATGTACGCGGCCAATTCTTGCTTCCCATCTTCCATTATGATGATGCCTGCAATAAATTTTCATTAAAAATTAAATAATATTATCTAAAAGGATAAAAATATTTTTTTCTCTCATTTTCTCACATACGTACGCTCTCTCTCTCTCTCTCTCTCTCTCTCTCTCTCTCTCTCTCTCTCTCTCTCTCTCTCTCTCTCTCTCCAAACTTCAATTTTTATATAGATATATACTGCCACACTCATGCATGAAGATGCATTTTAAGTTAAAATTGTAGCTTTTTGATGTGATATGAAAGATTTGGGCGAACATCCAATCATGCGAGGCCAGATCATCACATACGCTAATTTGGGCCGATGTGGAATCTCTTGATCGAACGTTCAGACATGTGATATATACAAATGAAACATTTCTCCTAAGAAAGGTGGTAAATAACCAGTCATGCATGAATATACAAATAAATACTTGTGTGTTCTAATTTAGTCAAAAAATAGTTAAATTTTAAATAAATAAAAAATGTTTAAGAAACTAGCTTTCCGAGACAATTAGAGCAAGCATATTAGGTGAGGAAAATATATAGTTGTGGGTCTGTTTTGTTACATATTTATTGAATTTGATAATTTAAATAAATACTTGTGTGTTCTAATTTAGTCAAAAAATAGTTATATTTTAAATAAATAAAAAATGTTTAAAAAACTAGCTTTCCGAGACAATTAGAGCAAGCGTATTAAGTGAGGAAAATATATAGTTGTGGGTCAGTTTTATTACATTATTATTGAATTTGATAATTTTATTACATCTTTACTCATCAGAACTCTTTGTTTCATTTATTAAGGAATGAAGATGGCAGTATTAGTTGCAATAATTAATTCTTTTTAATTAATAGGCGAGTTATTTGTTTAATAATTCTTTCTCTCAAAAAAAAATATATTATGTGTGGATGGATGTGTTCGGGTGTACTCGGGGTGTGCTTGGGGAGTACACCTCTTATCTACATGTACGGATGGCCGCACATAATATACTCTCCTTTGTCTCTCTAATTATCGAGAAAATATTACATCGAGAGTCGTGATTCAAAAATGCATAAAGACTTTAATCAATGTTTGTCGCATGTATAGTCCGGACACACAGTGTATTAAATTATTTAGTTTTTTTATCAAACGGGTCATGATTGTACATGTGACAGACAGTGATTTGAGTGCAGATGCATTTTACATCAAGACTCCTGATGTAATAATTTCTCCTAATTATCTCAATTTAGTTTAAATTTGAAAAATAAACAGAGACTTACCTGGCCACGCCTCTATACTTTGATACACCTCTAGAGAATCCACTACTCTTCCTGAAATTCACAAAAAAATAAAACAAATAAATATATGAAACAAGTTTTGATTAAAACCAAGCATCAAAATTAATACATGAATAATTAATAATAACTTATTAAAATAAATATCCTGATTACAATTAAAGATCATTTCTTATGAGAATATTCTAATCCCATTTTTTCCTTATTTGCAAAATTCTCTCTTTTTAACTTATATTATTGCATGCTTATTACCTCCTCAAAGATCCAATGTACTCTTCCTTGGACTGGCCTTGCATGTCTCTGAGCTCTTCTTGGTATGTTGATAGCTGCCAATTGGAGCCATAATATTCAGATATATGAATAATCTCTTTAATAGAAAAAACATCATACAATACAAAATACATAAATAATATATATGTATATATGTATATATTATATAAAAATTACAGGAAAATTCAGTATGGTTTCATGGCCCCAATACTTCAATGCAGCGAGGTCATAAGCTCTAGCTGCAGCATCCTCATCATAATAAGCTCCTGTTAAATATGAATATCATAACTTATTTCTTTTAATAAAAAATGAAAAATAAAAATTCCATCATAACCTTCTGCAATAGAACTCACCAAGGTATACTGCAAGCATCCACAGAAAGGAAAAAAATATAAAAAAACAAAGCAGATCAGTATAAAAAGATTAATTAGCTAATAAAACAATAAAAAAATTAAGTTTTTTCAGCGAAAAAAAGATTAAAAAAAACACCTTGTTTTCCTTTCTTTTTCTGTGATTCATTCCAACTGTTCTTATCCCAGAGATGAGCTTCGTACCTTCCAGTCCACCGATGCCTTTAAATGTATGAAATCAAGCCATGAATTAGAAGGAAACATAAGGAAAAAGAAGATTCAAGAAGAGTTTACAGATCTTTGCAGCACTAACAATTAGAGCGATTTAAGATCTGCTTGGAATGAAAATAAAAAAAAAGGATTTTTATCTCAGTAATTAGGAATAAATTATTGTAAAAAAATGGTTTTTAAGTAGTTTAATTAAGAGATTAGAAAACCTTGTGACGCCACGATAAACAGAGCTTCTCTGCAAGGGAGAGTCTCTTGGGACGCTCCTCTCTTCCTTGTCCTCCTCATCTTCATGTAGCCGTTGCTACTGTTGCTGTTGGTGTTTTCACTGTTACTGATGGAGTTATTCTGCTTCCTTTTAGCCATTGCTGCAACAGATAGAGAGAAAGAGAGGGAGTTGGGATTTATTACTGAAGGGTGAAGTGCTAGTAGAGTTTAAAAGAGAGGGCAGGGGTTGACAGAGTATTTGTTTCGTAAAGAAAAAAAAAATGGTATGTTTTATTAATTATATTTTGAGATTATATATGTATATAATTTGAGAGGGATTGAATTTTTAGATGCTTGAGTTGAGACAAATTAGCTCAAATTTGACTTGATATTATCCATAATTTTTTATTTTTTTTTTCATGTAGCAATCCCTGGCCAACCACAAAAAGCTTGCTTGCATGCATGTATGACTTCTTTTGTTGTCTTTTATAAGAGATCTTAACATATCTATATGAGAGATAGGTTTTGGCCAAAAAAGATTAGTAGTCTTTTGTTTATTTACATTGAGTATTAGATCAATTTCATCTGTTTCATTGTAAAAAATGTTTGATTTGATGGGTTTTAGTGAAAAACAATTTGAATTGGTTGCAATTGTTTAGAATAATATGGATTTTCTTAAAAAGGTGTAGGTGCTTTGATTATTATATGCTTTATTGGAAAAGTTGAACAACATTTTTTTTATAACTACTTCAGTGAGAGGTATAATTGGCCAAGGAATGCCTTTATATGATTGAGAGAATTAATGATGGGTCTTGCACAAAGAAAATTATTACTCTTTTATTTATTTACATTGAGTATTAGGTTGATTTGATTTGTTTCGAAGTAAAACAAAAAAAAAAAGTTTAGTCTGGTGGGTTTTAGTTAAAAACAATTTGCAGCAATCGTGAATGTATGTGTTTTGAATAATTAAAAGACAAAAAAAAAAAAAGTTTAGTCTTGTGGGTTTTAGTTAAAAACAATTTGCAGCGATCGTGAATGTATGTGTTTCGAATAATTAAAAGGTTGCATTCATTGGGAACAAAAAATGTAATGGTTGTATGTGATTACAACATGTGTTTTACTATTGTTATGACTGGTTGGGAATAAAAATTGTAGTGCACTTAACAATTGTACATTCAAATTTATCACAAGAACTCGGAAGCACAAGTTCCCTCACCCACCTCCAGATTTGTTCAACCGTTAATCCTATTAAAATTAATCTTCATTTCATTACTAATTATTGTATTTGTGACAAATAAATATTGTTTCATCGATATTGGATATCCCTTATAAAGGGGGTATCTGAAGTTATTTTCAGATACCAAATATCATATTCTCGACTTTGAAAGAGCATGTAATGTAGCTTGGAGCTGGAAAGAAATGTTTAAGAAGAGGAATTTGTCTTCATACAGTGTCATTGAAAGAACATTTGGAGTGTGGAAGAAAAAAAAAAGGGTCATACTACGGGATATGTTGACATATTCGCCTCCTAAGAAAATGTAGATTATGGTGACTACAATGGCTCTCCAAAACTATATTCGGCGGCATCCTTCGTACAGTGATATTGAATTTGACTAGGATGATAAAAATTATTTTCATGTCCCAACTAAAGCATTTTAATATCACGTAAAACGTTTTTTATCACATGTAGAAGTTGAATTACCTGAGAGTTGCACCCATGATGGGGAAGGTGTCGGAGAAATAATAGAGTTTAGAGAGCATATTATAGGCATCATCATCATAAAGACCCAAGGGTTTTTTTTTTTTTTTTCTTTTGTTATTTTATTTGCAATGTGTGGTGAAAACTCTTATCTTTTGTTGTATCGATATTTTTTCCAATCATCTATAATTTGAATATCAATTTTATTTATCCTCTTTTGCATGTATTATCCCCCACTTGGATGATTGGAGAGGCAACCATAGATAAAATATGCTATATAATTATTTATTGCATGTTTATTTTTGATTTATTAAATCCAGATTTATGTGAAGAAGAAGACAACGTGAAAAAAATCAGGCAGAACGCGAGCAAAATCTATTGAAAGGAGTGTTCGATTTAAGATTCAGTTTTTTGGTGTTTGGTTGGATTTAAGCTAAATTTGTTGTTAAATTTGCCTATTAATAGGCTACCAAACACCATCTTAAGCTCAACCAAAATGAATTTAAAGTCAAAAAAATTCCAAACCATGCAATTTATAATTAAAAAAATTATAAAGAGTTTGCATATTTATTATACTTAAATCAATTGGATGTCATCAATAATTACATTACATAAAACTTTACCTTTCTCTCTCATTCAATTTATCACTTTTTTAATTTTTAACACATTTATATTATTTTGATCGAGTTTAGCAACATAATATTCTTGTAAAATAATATGATTTGAATAAAATAAATATAGTAATTTTTTTTAATTTAATTTTAAATTTCATAAACATAAAGTCTTACGAGCACATTGACCATGTCCCTAAAGTTGTGGCTTGGACTTTTTGCTCACTCTAATACAAAATTCCTGCTTTATCAATACAAAAAACAAGTGGGAACTAATTATAAATTGAGGTTTCAATTTGACTCCAATGAATTTAAATGAAAATTATATTTTTAAATTTCGACTTTGTTTTTAAGAGATCAACTTATTAATTTTAAATTTTAAAATTTTAATTGATTAATTATATATTGAGTATGTGAGTGTCTACATACATACATACATATGTACGTACATACCTACATACATATATACATTGATAATTTTGGAAAAAAGAATAAAAATAAAAATAAAATAAGAGGGAGCCTTTTTGAAAGAAGTTCGAAAAATCTTTAAGGGTAATTGTTTGGATTTTGTATTTATCTCTGCCAAATCAAACGAACCACTAATATTTAATATATATA